AGAGAAGAAAAATGTATCCTCTAATCATTAACCTAAACTCTAGTTTGTTCTTAGCTCAGGTCTTTTTATCAGTTGTTTTTATAACAAACACACTGTTGCAATTTGGCCACGTGACTCAGCCTTTCTGATCAGGGTTTCCCCACTTCTGAGCTGAGACCTCCCACCACCACTCCTTCCCCCGCCCCCAGTCTCCTCCTGCACAGGCAGTGCAGTGTCACCACCCTGAAGGGCTCTCGAGATAACTATATGAAAATGCTCTGTACCTTTAAAACACTATGTAAACTTAGATGTTAATAGTAGCCCCGGGGACACATTCCTGTGGCTCTGCCAACCCAAAATACTTATCCCGTTAAGGCTTTTAAGATACAGATTTTGACGTTTAACCTCTTAGGAAACTTGCAAGTCATTGTTGTAAAGAAGAACGGCGGGGCATCTTCTCTTCTTCAGACTCAAGCATCCAGATGAGACAGTGAAGCGTGGAGGGAGTAGAATGCACAGGGAGAGTCTGGCCACATTTTCTACGGGATGTTGTGAGGGCTGCAATGGAGAATTGCAGCCAGATCCCACTCCATCTGAGCCCAGACTGGCTCTTCCTGCAAAGGTTCATGAGGCTGGGTGTGTAGCAAGTGGGGCCTGGAGGGGGAGAGGAATAGCTGGAAAGTGAAATTGGATGGTCTGAGTATAGAGTGGTAGGTCCTTACTATATTGTAATATATTTGTAAGCCCCTTAAATCCTATTTGACACAAGGTGACGTGTAAAGGCTCAAGTTAATACATAGCATGTTGGAACTTGTGGGACATTGTCAGATCACTTCTTTCAAATCAAATGTAACAAAACCAAAAAGAACCAGGGAAGGGGGACCTCTGAAATAGATCCAAAAACAATACCAGAGCAGTAAGCTTCAAAGTGATGAGTAGATCCAACAGCAGCAACTCCATCCCAACGGACATGTGTTGTGACCTCACATGCGGACAGCTGTGCCTCAGACATTAACCTTTAAATGTTAACACAAGCCCCTACAGTAGAGAGACAGTGTCTACTTTAAGAACTGGAACAGAAGAGGGCCCCTGGGTGGCTCAGATGGTTAAGCGTCTGCCTTCGGCTCAGGTCATGATCTCAGGGTCCTGGGATTGAGCCCCGCATCGGGCTCCCTGCTTGGTGGGGAGTCTGCTTCTCCCTCTCCCTCTACTGTTCCCCCTGCTTGTGCTCTCTCGCTCTCTCTGTCAAATAAATAAATAAAATCTTAAAAAAAAAAAAAAGAACTGGAACAGAAGAAATAATGAAGAGGGGTGGAGTGGAGGCTTGGGAGCTCTGTGCGGGTGGTGCTGTGCTCCCTGCAGGGCTGAGTACAATGGGCCACGGAGCAAGGGGAGAATTAACACAAAGATGCAGCCTTGGACCAGCCCAAGCACACGGATTCCAGCGACACAAAAGAAAACAAGGGATGTAGAAAACAAATCTTAGAGAACCCACCTGCAAGAGATGAGAATGCCAGACAACAGTCAAAAAAAAAAAAAAAAAGCCCACAATATAACATCTGTAAGAGAAAACACTAAAGAAAATGTCATGTCATAACGTACACCTCCTTCTCAGGAAGTACTCAGAGGGAGTAATAAAGTAATGACAATTACTGCTGTTTGGTGAGCTCTTACAGGCCCCAGGCACTGGCCCACACATTTATACTTATTTAATCTTCACGGCTACTCCCTGGGGGGAGGACTCTTATTTTATCAAAGACGACACTGGGGCTTGCAGAAGCTGGGCAACATGCCTAGGTCACACAACTGATAGGAGGGCGAGCCAGATTTAAACTGGCCGTGGGTCTGTGCCGTGCTCTTCATCAGTGTGCTAGGGAGACCTGAGCGCTCCTCCTGGTTAACTCTATGACTTTGGGCCCAGATCCTCTACCTATAAAAATGATGAGGCCAAACTGGATATGGTTCAAGAGGCTCTTCCAGATCTAAAAAGTTGAGTTGGTTTCAAATCAAAGTCTATAGTTTATAAGAGAGACATTTAAGTCAGAAGGCCCATGTAGAATCATAGTGAATCATACTCACGAGCAGATTTAAAAAATATAGGGGTTGCCATCACGGTAGCAGATAAAATTTATCAGGAAATTTAAAAGAACACTGAGATATGCATCAAGGTCACCATCAAAGGTAAGACATACATAGAACAATGAAAGCCTAGAATAGTACTGAGTGCACATACCCTATACACATACTAGGGACATGCATGAAGGAAGAGCTAGCAGAAATGCAAGGCGTGTATGTAGATCTCTCTCTCTCTTGCTTGCTCTCATCTATCTACCAAAAGGGTACTGATAAGAAGTTATATCTGGGGCACCTGGGTGACTCAGTTGGTTAAGTGTCTGACTCTTGGTTTTGGCTTGGGTCATGGTCTCAGGGTCATGGGATCCAGCCCTACAATGAGCTCTGCACTCAGCACAGAGTCTGCTGGAGATTCCCTCTCACTCCCTTCCCCTTTGTTCCTCCCCCTGCTTGTGCTCCTGCACTTTCTCTCTAAAATAAGTAAAATCTTTAAAAAAAAGTTATACCTAACAAAATGGGGGTGGGGATGGGGCAGAAAGGGATAGAAAATGGAACTGGAAGATGTAAGTATAAACTAACAAGGGAAAAATTTACGCATACATTGTGTGAACCTAAAGGTAGAGCATGATAATACCCTGAGGCAAATAAATGAAAAAAAAATTCATCTTGCTCTTGGACATGAAAGATACTTAGCAATCACCAAAAGGCAGAAAGTCCATGTATCATATTATCCCAACAACATGTAATCATCTTGAAAGAAAATAATATGAACAGAATTAGAAAGGAACTCAACTACTTGAAAATTTTGAAATGCTCTCTTTAATAATTTCTGAATTGGGGACGAATTCCTACATACAGTAACAGAAAGCATTTTGTTTTTAATGAAAAGAAAGCTCACTATCATAAAAATTGTTACAAATATATTTTGATAGTATCCAAACCCTATGTAATGAGCAGACAGTTTATAGATAAGGAGAGAACAAACATTACATCACACAAATGAGTGCACATCTCTCCTAGCTTAATGAAATGCAACTTAACATTTGTTAGGACTTCATTCCATGCCTAGTAAACTTAAAAAAATAAAATGATGAACCCAATGTTGGCAGGTTTTTTGTGGTACCAGGCTCAGCACTGGAGGGATGGGAATGAAAAATAATGAATCCCTGTCCTTGTGGAACCCAATAGAATGGACATGGCAGACATGGCGGACTGTATGTAAGTTTCATCATGAGGTGTTAAAGTAATCCTTGAGAGTAAGTTACTGGAAGTGGTTAGTTTGTTAGTACGAGGGCTGAGATGTGTGTCACTAGAATATAACTGGGAGTTTTGTCTCACTCACCATGGTGTCCTCAATATTATGGCAGCCACTGCCCACCACAGGGCAGATCCTCAGTAGACACTTGGTGAATGAGTGCAATGTGCATATGGAATTATAGCAAAAAATTAAAACACAAGTTCTGTCTTATGTAACTCTGGTTATACCCACATACAGTGGCTTATATGTTCATTTTATTTTATTTTATTTTTAAGATTTTTATTTATTTGAGAGAGTGAGAGAGAGAGCATGAGAGGAGAGAGGGTCAGAAGGAGAAGCAGACTCCCTGCTGAGCAGGGAGCCCGATGTGGGACTCGATCCCAGGACCTGGGATCGTGACCTGAGCCAAAGGCAGTCGCCTAACCAACTGAGCCGCGCCTAACCAACTGAGCCGCCCAGGCGCCCCTTATATGTTCATTTTAAAGCTCAAGGGGATTTTGTAAAGATCTAAGTAGAGCATGTTTCCCTCTCTGTCCAGATATTTAGATTCATAATTTTTAAGTTAAAAAAGTATTCACACATACCCATACTAGCATGTATTCTATTCTACTTTGGAGCCTTATGGGTCTAGATTTATGGATGTAGATGAGTTGTCCTCAACCCTGGCTGCACACTAGAATCCCCTGGAGCTTTGAGTACACTCCATACCTGGGCGCACTCCTAGACAAGCCCACTAATTTGTCTGAGGGTGATGCCCAGGCATCATCGATTCTAATGTTCAGCCAAGATACCAAGGCCACTTAGGCAGGAAAACTCTTCCATCAAATTTATATTTTCGTTACATAGGATGTACTCAGTCATTCTCGAGAATAATCCTTTAAGAGGCTTTTGTGTAATTCTGAGTTCAAAAATACCCTTCTTGTATTGTGAAGAAAAAAGTATCTGAAGTGGGTGTATCAAGATGCTGGGGTTGCCTCTGCACCACCATTCCCCTGATATTAATGTCACGGGCGGGCAGACTAGGCTAGCCTTGATAGCCTCTGATCTAATAAGAGAGGATTGCTGGAGGTTGACTTATCAGGCTGCGTTTATCTCAAAGGGAAGAAAGTTCTAGAAGTTCTCCCAGAGGCCAGAGGGAGAAGCCAGGCAGGAGTAAGAAGGGCCTGGATGGAAGGAACTTGCCTTGATAGTTGACCTAAAAACCGTTTTGTCCATGTGATAAAAAAGAGGCTTGAAGGTCAAGGTCTGGGATTGCTGATCATTTCTGAAGACACAAAGGAGTCTGACAACCCAGATTTTAGGCTGTGCATCTCTTGGTGGGAGAACTCCCCATGGGAGCTATGCTTTTATCCTGGGTTCTGGGGAACATTCTTTGGGACCAGGGTACCCAGTGGCATGCACTCTACATGCTTGCTGAGCTCTGTGCTGTCTCCAAATCATTTCCCAGCGCCTCCCGGGTTTGCCTCTCCAAGACTGGGGTTCAGTCTGCCTGTCTTCCCCTGTCCGAAGTTTGGCAGGGTTCCTGGGTCTGACTTGGAGCGTGGCAGGAGCTCCCTGTATACTGGGACCAGCTGGGTCATGGCGTCTAAATCAAGCTAGGGCTTGGGATTAAAGAACTGCCGCTGGGCTGAGTTTCAAACCCGGGCTTACAGATCTCATGGGTAACTACATCCTCGTTCCCCTCCTCCAGGCTGCCCATTCTCCAGGGAGGGACGTTTGCTTTTGTGGCACCCTCCCTGGCCATGCTCTCCCTGCCTGCTTGGAAGTGCCCTGAGTGGACATTCAATGCCAGTCTGGTGAACACCAGCTCTCCTGAGTTCACTGAGGAATGGCAGAAGAGGATCCGAGAGGTAACGGGGCAAGGAGGGTGTAGGGGACAATGTCACACTCCTACTATATGTTTGATAATCGTGCTCTAGTTCTGTTTTTTTCTCCCCTCCTTCCAAAGTCTGCACTTGTACCTTTGTAAATGAACTTTTAAATTTTAGGTTAACACATGTAGAAAATAACACAATAAATTTCCTAAAGCTGAACTTGTTCCTGTTACCAGCACCTGGATCAAGAAACAGAACATTACCACCACCCCCAGAAGCCCCGTCATGCCTCCTTCCAGTCACCCCTCCCCCGGGGATCATCGCTGACCTGATTTCTAACACCATAGATGAGTTTCGCCTGGTTTTGAACTTTCTATACCGAACTCCACAGTACATACTAGTTTGCGCCTGCTTTCTTCATTCAACATGATTTTTTTAAACGATTTTATGTATTTATTTGACAGAGAGAGACACAGTGAGAGAGGGAACACAAACAGAGGGAGTGGGAGAGGGAGAAGCAGGCTTCCCGCTGAGCAGGGAGCCCAATGAGGGGCTCAATCCCAGGACACTGGGATCGTGACCTGAGCCGAAGGCAGATACTTAACGACTGAGCCACCCAGGTGCCCCTATTCAACATGATTTTTACAAGAATCTTCCCCATTGTTATATGTCGGGGTAGACTCTTCATTCTCTCTACTGAGTAGCATTCCATTATATAATTATACAGCAATTTACTTCTCTATTCTGCTGTTACCTGAACTGTGTTTAAGGGTAGTTTCCAGTTATTGGCTATTATAGATAGTATACCTATGGACATCTGTGTACTTGGTTTTAGGTGAACTTCTCTATGTATTTCCATCGAATAGACATGTGTGGGAGTGGAATTGTTGAATCATAGCGTATGTGTACCAGTCAGGGATCTCCGGAGAAACAGAACCAATGGGATGATATAGAGATACACACAAGAGGAGATGTACTGTAGGAATTGGCTCACGTGGTGAGGGAGGCCAAGTAGTCCTTGAGCTATTTGCTACAGATGTTGATTTTCATGCTGGTGGGCATTCTGGGTGGCCAGCCGTTTTTATAGTAGTTTGGGCCGGGTCTTCAGTTGCAGAAGAGGCAAAGGTCAAACCAGCAACACTGTCAATACCAGTTTTAAAAAAACATGAAATCCTTCCATACTCTGTGAAATGTCAGGCGTAGGCAGACTGCCAGCTCCATGTTGGACCGTACACCCTCCTGTTCTCCCACCAAAGGCAACTGTGCCCATTGCTGTTGACAATCTGGACCATCCTGGGCAATGCAAGTACCTTCAGATGGAGATGGGCATTATGTTGTTTGGAGCCCGCATGCGCATGGTTTGTGGCCCAAGGTATCAACTCGTGGGCCCTGTGACTACATTCAAAGTCATACTTCCTTCCTCTTTTTAAGACTCCGGGACATCACCATGAGCCACCTGTATTTGAGATTTAACTATAAACTCCTGTCCCACACAAGGTAAAATTTCAATAGATACTTGTATGATCCACTTGCCAGGCCAAACTGCTAATTGTTGGCCGCACCCCAAGCCCACAGGGGCAATCCCCAGCATCTATGTGGGCGTAGTCAGCTGCATCACACATAACTCAGCCCATTGGCTGGATTTAGACTTGCTTTCCTTCTTCCACCAAGGGTCTTCTGTGGAAATGTTAAATACTCTAACAGCCTCCCCCTTTCTCAGTTAGGTGAGCAGCACCTTTAGCAAGGCTCCAACACGGTCTTTCTGAATTTAGGGACTCACAGGGTGAGACTCAACTCTAGAGTTACGTTACATTGTGAGGTAGTGTCTGTCCCAGGGGAGGGGGGGATTGTCACTGGCTCATGAATCCTAGGAACCCCTCCCATGTAACTGCCTTTTCTTTACCCGACCATAACTATGTCCTTTAAATTTTTAAAAGGATTTTATTTATTCATTTTTGCGAGAGAGAGAGAGAGAGTACAAGCAGGGAGAGAGACAGTGGGAGAAGCAGACTCCCCACTGTGCTTGGAGCCCAATGCAGGACTCAATCCCAGGATCCCTGGGATCATGACCTGAGCCAAAGGCAGACGCCTAACCAACTGAGCCACCCACACGCCCATAACTATTTCCTTTAATCAGCAAATGTTGTTGATCTGTCCTTCCTTACTTAAATGTCTTTCTGGCCTCACTCGAGATATGGTTGGGATCTCTGATTACTTAGAGTTATTGGTGCCATTCACCAGTGGTCTAATTCCAAACAGTGCAGACTAGTTAGTAATGGTCTGTCGAAGGGGGAGAGGGGAGGAGGAGCTGCTCCAGACCCCAGCCTCACCCGAAGCCCCACAGCAGAACGGAAGCTCCTGGCTTCTGACGGGGTCCGTCCTCATTCGGCGTGGGTTCTACTACCAACACCTGCGATATGTCAGGGAACACTGGGCTGCGAGGGCACAGATCTGTCTGAGCCATAACCCGTGAGTTTCAGCCCAAACCTTCTGCGGTTCTTCTTCCCTTTCAAAAGCAGCCTTTTTGCACACCCCTGTGCTCTGATAGACAGGCCAAAGGTGCATGTACCTCCGCAATCTCGTCAAGCCCTGTGCTTCCTTTTTATCTATCTCGGGGTGGACCCAGAGTTAACCAGGCTCTTGAATCTTTAAAGAACAATCCCATGGTAGCTCTGGACCAAGATATGCCTAAGAATTTCACTCGTCAAGCTGGTGGGCCCTGGATTTTTGCCGGGCAGCCTGGTCAATCTCAGAATGCCATGCGCTGTAGCGCCTTCTCCAAATTAGGCTGTGCTTCTTCAGGGAAGCCTGTTTTTATGATGCCATCAACAGAATGAATCACAGAACACGTGCGTGGCTTGTGGGTGTTTGTTTATCTGTTTGTTTCTGCTGTCCCCCTGGGGAGCCCATATTTGGCTTCGTTAAATCCAAATTAAACCTAAGCAAAGAACAAGAAGTGGGGATTCCTCACCCTGCTCTGCTAGATGCCAGGGCAGTGTTTCCCTTCGGCGCAGACCTGCTGAACCCTGGGGTTTCTCATGCAGGAGTCTCTTGCCTGCATCCTATCCAAGAAGAAAGATCTGACAAGTTCGTTTGTCTCTTCTCTTACCCAAGGACTTCTGCTCAAATCTTTCCTGCGTCCTAACGAAGCATCTGCCTCCAGCCCTACCATACATAGCCCAACTCACAAACCTGCAGCGCATTCAGAAGCAGTTACCTTGTGTTTTGAGGACACTGGGCAAGAGTTCTGGAAAATAATTTCCCTGGGGCTCGAACGGTATTAATAGTGAGGGAAGTGTTTAGGGATATGGGTCATGCTGTACTTGCATTAAACATGGGATCCCAAGTGGCAGAGACACCATATTTTCTTTAATACCTTTATTGTTTATTTTTGTGGTTATGATATACAGAGTCCTTTAAAGTCCTTTAAAGGAGTAGAAGAACTACAGCTCTGCGACCAAATCCAGCCTGAGGTCTGTTTTTTTAACTGCTCACAAACTAAGAATGGTTTTTACATTTTATTTTATTTTTAAAGATTTTTTAAATTTATTTTTTGACAGAGAGAAACAGCGAGAGAGGGAACACAAGCAGGGGGAGGGGGAGAGGGAGCATCAGGCTTCCCGTAGACCAAGGAGCCCGATGTGGGGCTCGATCCCAGGACCCTGGGATCATGACCTGAGCCGAAGGCAGATGCTTAACAACTGAGCCACCCAGGCACCCCTGGTTTTTACAGTTTAAAAGGTTGTTGTTGTTGTTGTTGTTTTTTAAAGAGTATGTGATAGCACACATGGCCCACAAAATCGAAAATATTTACTCTCTGGCTTTTTACAGAAAAAGTTTGCCAACTCCTGCTCTGAAACCCAGGGCCCAGGGTAGAGATTCCTTTTGCCCTAAGACAATAGTTGCCACTATTTTTTTCCCACATTACCTCCAAGGGTCCGACCCAGTGAGCCAAACCCAGAGCCTTATCTGTGGTAGTTGAGCTCCATCTGCTGGTCCAGTGTTTTTCACCAGCGCTGTAAGTAGGAGAAAGTTCTTGCAAATTTCAACCTCATTTCATGAATTGGATTGATTGGTTGAATTCGCCAAGCCAGCCTAATGGAATTTAAGGTAGATTCTCCATGTTTTACTGAGTTATATTTATCCACACACATCTCAAGGATTGAAACCACTGGTGGTCAGCACACCAACTCTATATCACTCTAGGAGCCACCAGTGAAGGTTATGCAAATATAGGACGAATAGGAAGGTCGTTACTTACTGGGCTTTAAGTAATGGGGAAGTGAAAATGAACAGTGGTTCTATTTTAAGGACATGGTGGTAGCAGAAAAAGTAGAAAACTGGGAAGAGAAGGCAAGTTCAGTTTTCAACACCTTAGACCAGTTCAAACCTCACCTTTCAGTACCATGGTAGTTTTTATGTACCTACTTATGTGTCCTTAGATATAAGTGAAATGAGTGACAGCAGTGACATGAGGGACGAGAAGGAGGGATTTAAGATTATTTTGTTATTATAAGGTGTTCACCCTACCCATGAACTGGCATAGTGTTATTTGAAAGTGGACTTGGATTAGTTGTAAAAGTACGTTGCAAACTCTAGGGCAACCACTCAAAAAAAGTTGAAAGAAAGAGAGAAAGAAAGAAAGATAACTGATATGCTAAGAAAGGAGAAAAAAAATGAAATGCTCAATTAAAACCACAAAAAGAGTAGAAGACAAAAATAGGAACAAAGAGCAAGGCCAACAAATAGAAAACAGTGATGAGTATGGTAGGTATTAACCCAATTATATCAATAATCACTGTGAATGTCAATGGATTAAATGTACCAACTAAATGACAGAGACTGTCAGAGTGGTTACAAAATACGTACAACCTAACTATATGTTGTCTATAAGAAACTTACTTTGAATATGAAGACACATAGGGACACCTGGGTGGCTCAGTCAGTTAAGCATCTGCCTTCGGCTCAGGTCATGATCCCAGGGTCCGGGGATCGAGTCCAGCATCGGGCTCCCAGCTCAGTGGGAAGCCTGCTTCTCCCTCTCCCTGCCTCTCTCCCTGCTTGTGCCCCACCTCAAATAAATAAATATCTTTAAAATAATAAGTATGAAGACACATGGAGATTGAAAGTAAATGGATGGAGAAAAATATACCATGCTAACACTAATCAAAAGAAAGTAGGAGTTGCTCTATGACTTTCAGAAAGAGCAGACTTTAAAACAAGGAAAAGTTATCAGGGATAAAATGGAATGCATAACATCTAAACTAGAAGAGTAAGAAAGGAGGCTTTAAGTAAATTCAATAAGTCCAGTCGATCAGGGGTTGGCAAACTACAGTCCATGAACCAAATCTGGCCTGCTGCTTGTTTTTATATAGCTCACAGGTTAAGAATGGTTTTACACTTTAAATGGTTGAAAAAGAAGACTACTTACTGTTTCATGATGTGTCAGAATTATATGAAATTCTAATTTCAGTGTCTACACATGAAATTTTATTGGAACACAGCGAGGCTCATTTGTTCACATCTTGTCTGAAAAATTTCAACAGAGCCCATATGGCGCATCAAGCCTAAAATATTCACTATGTGGCGGAAAAAAATTTTGCCATCTCTTGCAATAGAAAGTGGGAACACAGAAAAATAAAGCCGCAAGAGGTTCAACAACGCTATGGAGTGATGTCAGTTAACATCATCATCACTATGACCAGTAAATACTTTTGAAGGCTATTTCCTGAAAATCTTCAAATGAAGTGAAAATGTCCAACAAGCAGTTGGAAATCCAGAGCCGGAGAGAGGAGGAAGAACAGGGCTCTCCTTGCCTCTGTTGCTCTGGGGTTCAGCTTTGATCCTACACTGCCTCTTGCGTGCCACCTGGGTGGGGGGGACGGGGTTAGAAGTGGGCTGCGCAGCTGGGTTTGCCGTGATGGCTGCAACTGGGCTGAGGCCCACAGTCTCTGCAAGCTTCAAGGCATCTGAGCTGTACTTTTTGTCTTCAGTTGCAGGGCGCTATCATGGTCGCTTCCTGTGTCCAGATGCTAGTGGGATTCTCAGGCCTCATTGGGTTTCTCATGCGCTTCATTGGCCCCTTGACCATCGCTCCAACTATCTCCTTGGTGGCCTTGCCTCTCTTCGATTCTGCAGGCAATAACGCTGGAATCCACTGGGGGATTGCCGCCATGTAAGTGCTCTCTGGGAATGGAGTGTCAGCTCAGTTCTTTCTGGTGGAAGATTAGCCAGTAGGAATAATGTGTTCTGGATATTGGCAAACTCTTGTGGTTTACGGATACTTTCATAAACATTATGATACCTTAAAAAGTGGTGAAATTGCTACCATTAATTATTACTACTATTTATTACATTATTAGTCCTCAGAAACCATAAGTTGATGACAGGCGGTATATAAGAATACTTAATGTTCATAAAACATTGATACTGCGGGTCCTCTGCCTGCTAGCTTTTCACTGAGCCAATGTTTGTAAACCTCGGGCACCTGGGAAGGGTGCAAAGACATCGCTCCAGCTCTCAGTAATCTTATAGTGTAGGAGAGAGATGAGCCTCGGGTCCAAGGAGCTATGACACCAGGAGACAATGATGAGCATCATAGAATGCCCTGCATGGTCCAGGGCAGGGGGTGATGACAGCCAACGGGGAGGATCAGGAAGGCTTTAGGGAAAAAAGAGGCCTTAGGCATTTCCACAGCGCTTTGAAGGGACTTGGGGTTGGCACTGGACATGCTCATCCACGCTGCGGTGACGGTCTCACCACGAGGACTAGGAATTGCAGAATGACCCAGGAGAGAAGACAGTCTCTGACTCCGGCCTCACTGGCTCCACCTGCTGGGATCTGTCCAGCTGCTGACCCGCCAGGAGTAACAGCCCCCCTTCCCCGGTATTCCTCTCTAGCCACCAGCAGCTTTGGAAGGGACCAGCCCACCGTCTCAGGGATGGGGCCTGCCTCCTTGGGGACCCTCCCAGTGCGGCCCGGCCACCCCGTCCCAGAAATGCATGGTGGCTCAGCTTCCTGGACCCTTGCTCAGGACGAGCCCCAGCTTGCCAGGCTGGGCATGGCTTGTTTCTGTTTCAGGACCATCTTCCTCATCGTACTGTTTTCTCAGTACCTGAAAAATGTCGCCGTGCCCGTGCCAGTTTATGGAGGAAAGAAGAAGTGTCACATGTCTAAGTTCTACCTGTTTCAGGTCTTCCCGGTAAGAAGCACCCCCCCGCTCTCTTCCCTTCTTAGTGGATTCGCCCCCGGAGAGTGAAGGGCAGCCTCTCGCACTCCCAGTAGGTTCCCAAAACAAATGCTTCCCCGTGTGCAGGGTCTCTCCTCCCTGACCCCCACTCCTCTGCTGTAGAAGGAGGCCGAGGGGAGCCCCGCCGGCCGTGCGACTGCTCCCTGGCTGTTGGTGTAATGCCGTCCCCGTCACTCCGCAAAGCTTCTCACCCCAGAGCAGAGAACCTTGCCCTAGGTCGCAGCTCTGGGCACCCGTGTGGGACATCCTTGTCACACGTTCCTGGGGCCATCCCCATAGCAAGGTTCACGGCTAATTATACAAAACTGAGGACCCAGTTGCTCAGATCAAGTTCTCGGTGGCTCGTGGGTAATCCAGATCCCTCGTGATAACGCTGGTCCCTCACTTTTCAGATACTCCTCTGCTGGATTTGCATCTCGGTGTTAGGTTTGTGTGGCTGCCAACCACACAATACGTTTTCAGGTTTAATTTAATTGTGAGCTACATTTCACCTTGTAAAAAGAAACTTCCACATCTCACTGATCTCTCACTGCCCTGCGGGCTGGTGGTTCTACCATTCTGCACGCACAAGAATCACTTGGGGACATTGCTAAAAATACATCTTTCTGGGGTTCTGCCACCAGGGATTAAATATCAGTAAAGCTTCAGGCTCTATAGAGCACTGATTATCATTCCATTGTACAGATGAGGAAACTGAGGCGCAGAGAGTTTGATCCAAGGTCATGTGACCAGCCAACAGTGGAAAGGGAGACAGACAGTAATCCTTTGGACCCGGGCTGTGCCTATTCTGCTAGACCTTTCTGCCTCTATTTGACACAAGGTTTTTCCATAGTTTATATCCTACATGTCTTTAATGTGCTAATGATGACACAGATTGCTATTGTTATTGCAAGGGCCAGTAACCCAGCATCTCCTCATTTCAGAGAGCTTCCCTGACCTCCTTCCCTGGCCCAGCACCTCTGGAAGGTGTTGGCAGGGGCTGGGGCCCTGGGCTCAGTAGTGAAGGGAGCTCCTTCCACAGGTGCTGCTGGCGCTTTGCATCTCGTGGCTTCTCTGCTTCGTGCTCACAGTCACCAACGCCCTTCCTACAGCCCCCACCGCCTATGGGCACCTGGCCCGCACTGACACCAAAGGCAATGTGCTGAGCCAGGCTCCTTGGTTTCGCTTCCCTTACCCAGGTAATGAGAAGATAGGACTCCTTTCTGCCAGGGACATGTGTTTTCCAGGACTGTCCGTGGGGTCAAGGGCACTGAATGGAGAGTTGAATAGAGCCAGGGGATAGATCTCCTCCAAAAGATCTGACAAGGAAGAGCAGGCCCTAGGGGGTCCATTTGAGACCCCTAAGAGAAGGAGGAGACCCTTGGGCTGTCCTAAGAATCCTCTGGGGGTGTTAGACCAAAGGCTCCCATTCCTGGACCTTCTTCTCATCCCCTCCTCCATGATACTCAGAACCCATGGCCTGAGAGCAGGCAGATCAGAGAGGTCTCGACCTTCTAGCGAGACCTTCGGGAGTCTTCTTGGATTAGTTGAATTCTACCTAAGGGAGCCTTGGACTGACTTAGAACATTTCTAAGTCAGATACTTAAAAAATATGAGGTCAAGGCCATCCCTTAGCCCACTTCTGGTTGCCTTTTCCAGCACTTTTGGCTCAGGGGTATTAATAACCAGGTCCAGGGAGGGCTGGCCTGGCCCCGTGGACTGTGGAGCTCATTCCTCCCTGAATACGAATCTCTGCTTCCAAATGCTTCAAGATCTGCCCAGGAAGGGGCCCTGCTGGGGGCTGTTTTTGTGCACAGTGACCTCAAGGTCTGGGTGTCTGACTGGCCCTCAGGGAGGAATGATCAGGCAGGAGTCCAAGCCAAAGCCTCTGGACAGTTGTGGGGTTGGGAGATACACTGCCTGGTCTTTCAAGCCTTCCAAAGACCCCCTCCAGCACAGAAGTTATTATGGGCTCAGCCACCTGTTGTCTTCTGGATTAACGTTCCCTCTGCCTCGTTCTTGCAGGACAGTGGGGCCTCCCCACCATCAGCCTGGCTGGGGTCTTTGGGATCATTGCGGGGGTAATCTCCTCGATGGTGGAGTCAGTAGGCGATTATTATGCCTGTGCCCGGCTTGTGGGGGCCCCACCCCCTCCGAGGCACGCTGTCAACCGTGGCATCGGCATTGAGGGTCTTGGCTGTCTTCTGGCGGGGGCCTGGGGTACAGGGAACGGCACCACCTCCTACAGCGAGAACGTTGGGGCGCTGGGCATCACCAGGGTAAGTCCACTGCCTGTGACCTCAGGCTGGGTGCGTGCATCTGTCATCCACCTGTTGCTGCAACAAATTATCACAAACCCAGTGCTTTCAAACAACTCGGATTTGTCATTTTCTTGATCCGGAGTTCAAAAGTCCAACACGGGTCTCAGGGAGCTAAAATAAAAATATTGGCGGGTCTGTGTTTTCATTAGCTTTGATGCAGGCCTTTGTTTCTTGTTCCTTATGAGGATTATAAACAACCAAAAAATGTATTTTGATGTGGTAAATCCTTACCGCATGTCTTGTCAGGAAGACATTTAAATAAATAAGCTCTTAGACTGGAAAGAACAATAAGCAAAGGCAGGATCTGCTACTTTATCGCTGCTGCATTAGTGAATTCAGTAGTTGCCACTTTTTAAAGATACTTAAAAAATACTTTCAATTGTGGTTAAAGACGCATCACATAAAGACTGAAATCTGCACCAAACAACTCTTTATTCTCCTTCATCCCCAGCACCTGTCAGCTAGCATTCTAGTTGCTGTTTCTATGAATTTGACGACTCTAGGGACTTCATATAAGTGGAATCCTACAGTATTTGTCTTTCTGTGGCTGGCTTATCGCACTTAGCAGAATGTCCAGGACTGTCCACAGACAGTCCAGGAATATTCCACTCCAAAGATATATACCGCATTTTGTTTATGCCTTGTGTCTGGATTTCATTCTAGCTCCTCTCTGTGGCCCTTACAGCCCTTTATGGTGGAGCCCTTGCCTTGCTCTTCATCCATCTTCCATGTGTCTCTCTGTCCCCCTGCACTCCAGACACATGGATTTTCCTTCCCACCTCCTCCCCCGTAGCTTTACTGAGATGTACTTGATTATAATATAACATTGTGTAAGTTTAAGCTCTACAGTGTGTTTATTGGATACCCTTCCATTTTGCCATGTGATGACCACCATTACCTAACACTCCCATCACGTTACATAATTACCATTTCTTTTTTTTGTGGTGAGAACATTTGAAATCTACTCTCTTAGCAACTTTCAAGTGTGTAATTCGGCTTTGTTAACTATAATCACAATATTGTACATTAGGTCCCCAGAACTTACTCATCTTCTAACTGGAAGTTTGTACTCTTTGATGAACATCTCCCCATTTTTTCCACCCTGAAGATCCTAGTAACCACCACTCTACCCTATTTCTGTGAATTTAGCTTTTTTATTTTTTTACTTATTTTATTTATTTTTTTTTTAAGAGAGAGAGAGAGAGAACGTGTGAGCAGGGGTGGGGAGAGGCAGAGGGAGAGGGAAAGAAAGAGAGAATCTTCAGCAGACTCTGTGTCCAGCATGGAGCCTGAGGCGGGACTCGATCTCACAACCCTGAGACCATGAACTGAGCTGAAATCAGAGTTGGACACAACAAACTGAGCCACCCAGGCGCCCTGATTTTAGCTTTTTTAGACTCCACATATGAATGGTACTGTACGGTATTTGTCTTCTCTGACATATTTCACTTAGCATAATGTCTTCAAAGCCTATCCATGTTGTTGCAAATGGAAATGTTTCATTTTTTATGGCTGAATACTATTCCTCTGTGTGTGTGTGTGTGTGTGTGCGTGTGTGTGTACGTACACACCACATTTCTTTCTCCACTCATCCATCATTTAGGTTGTTTCCATGTCTTGGCTGTTGTCAATCATGCTGCAATAAACATGGGTTGCAGATATTTTTTCAAGTTAAAGTTTTGGTTTCTTTGCATAAACGTAAGAGGAATTGATGGATCATATGGTAATTCTATTTTTAATTTTTTGAGGAAAAGCCATGCTGTTTTCCATAGTGGCTTTGCCAATTTACGTCCCCATCAACAACACACGAAGGTTCCCTTTTCTGCACATCTCTACCAACACTTGTTATTTTTTATCTTTTTTATAACTGAATCTAACAGATGTGAGGTGATATTTCATTATGGTTTTTTTTTAAAAGATTTTATCTATTTATTTGACAGAGAGAGACACAGCTAGAGAGGGAACACAAGCAGGGGGAGTGGGAGAGGGAGAAGCAGGCTTCCCGTGGAGCAGGGAGCCCGATGCGGGGCTCGATCCCAGGACTCTGAGCCCAAGGCAGACGCTTAATGACTGAGCCACCCAGGCACCCCTCATCGTGGTTTTGATTTGCATTTCCCTGATGATGAGTGACGTTGAGCATCTTTTCATGTGTCTGTTGGCCATCTGGATGTCTTCTTTGGAGAAATGTCTATTTAGTTTCTCTTCCTATTTTTAAGTCATTGTTGTTGTTATCATTGAGTTGTATAAATTCTTTATACATTTTCGATATTAATCCCTGATCAGAGAGATGGTTTACAAATATTTTATCCCCCATCCTGTAAGATGCTTTTTTATTTTGTCAATTGTTTCCTTTGCTGAGCAGAAGATTTTAGTTTGATGTAGTCCCATTTGTTTACTTTTGCTTTTGTTGTTTGTACTTTTGGTGTCATACCCCCCAAAATTGTGAAGACCAATTTCAAGGGGATTTCCCCCTCTGTTTTCTTCTAGGACTTTCATAGTTTCAGATCTTACATTTAAGTCTTTAACTCATGTTGAGTTAAGTTTTTTGAGTGGTGCAAGGTAGAGGTCCAATTTCATCCTTCTGTATGTGGTTCTCTGGGTTTCCCAACCCCATTTATTGACGTGATTATCCTTTCCCCCATTGAATATGCTTGGCTTCCTTGTCAAATATTAGTTGACCATATATGCATGGGTTTATTTTGGGGCTCTGAATTCTGTTCTATTGGTCTATGTGTCTATTTTTATGCCGGGATCATACCATTTTAATTACTATAGCTTTAGAGTATTGTTTGAAATCAGGAAGTGTGATGCCTCCAGTTCTATTTTTCTTTCTGAGGATTGTTTTAGCTATTCAGGGTCTTTTGTGTTTACAGACAAATTTTAGGATTTTTTTTTCTATTTCTGTGAAAAATGCCATTGGATTTTTGTTAGGGATTGCTTTGAATCTATAGATGGCTTTGGGTAGTATGGACATTTTAACAACATTAAGTCTTATCCATGAACACAGGATATCTTTCCATTTATTTGTGTCTTCTTCAATTTCTTTCATCAGTGTCTTATAGTTTTTAGTGTACAGATCTTTACCCCCTTGGTTAAATTCATTCTTAAGTATTTTATCATTTTTGATTCTATTATGACTGGATTGTTTTCTTTATTTTTCAGATATTTTGTTGTTAGCTTATAGAAATGCAACTGGTATGTTGATTTTTCTATTCTGTGACTTTACTGGTTCATTGATTGGGGCTGATAGTTTCTTGGTTGAGTCTTTAGGATTTTCTCTATATAAGATCATATCATCTCAGCTGTCATTTATGGCTTTCACTGTGTTGAGGTATGTTCCTTCTATACCCAATTTGTTGAGAGTTTTTATCATGAATAGATGTTGTATTTTGTCTAATGCTTTTTCTGCATCTACTGAGATGATTTTACAGTTTTTATCTTTCATTTTGTTTATGTGGTGTATCAACATTTATTGTTTGTGCATGTTGAAACATCCTTGCATTCCAGAGATAAATCCCACTTGGTCACAGTATATGATCCTTTTAATGTGCTGTTGAATTTGGTTTCCTAATATTTTTTTATTTTTTTAAAGATTTTTATTTATTTATTTAACAGAGAGAGAGAGAGAGAGAGCACAAGTAGGCAGAGTGGCAGACAGAGGGAGAGGCAGAAGCAGGCTCTCCGCCGAGCAGGGAGCCCTATGCAGGGCTCGATCCCAGGACCCTGGGATCATGACCTGAGCCGAAGGCAGCCGCTCAACCGACTGAGTCACCCAGGCGCCCCGGTTTCCTAATATTTTTTAAAAGATTTTATTTATTTGAGAGAGAGCAAGCTAGAGAGAGAGAGAGAGAGAGCACATGCACAGAGAGGGAGAAGCAGACTCCCCACTGAGCAAGGAGGCCAACACAGGGCTCAATCCCAGGACCCTGAGATCATGACTCGAGCCAAAGGCAGACGCTTAACCAACTGAGCCACCCAGGCACCCCTGGTTTCCTAATATTTTATTGAGACTTTTAATCTCTATATTCATCAGGGATATTGGTCTGTAGTTTCTTAGAGTGTCATCGTCTGGCTTTGGTATCAAGGTAACGCTGGCCTTGTAAAATGAGTTTGTGAAGTAAGTGTTATTCATTCCGTCTGGTAAATTTGGAAGCTGTTTGGAGGGATTAAGTAATGTGCCCAAAGTCACACAGCCAGTTAGAGGCAGAGCTCAGCTTGGCCATCCCATGCCCATCTTTAAGCACTGGGCCCCTGCCTTCCAAGAGAGACCTTTTGCCTCGCTGGAAAAGCCTTCTCAGGGAAGGAGCATTTTCAGTGAGGACTTTAAGGCAGGGATAGAACAGTGAGTGACGAGTTGAGGCCAGAGGCCAGGACACAAGGTCACACCCTCATCCTTTCCAACCCCACGTGAGAGTGAGGGGGGCCATTTTGGGGTCATGTTGTATGGCTCTTACAAGTTCCCTGGAGTGTCGTTTGTAGAGCAAGGCAGAGACCTGCTGAGCATCTCATCCCTGAATTCCCTGAGCCCTGCAGGTAGGGAGCAGGATGGTGATGGTCGCTGCTGGCTGCTTGCTGCTCCTGATGGGCGTATTTGGGAAGATTGGGGCTGCCTTTGCCACCATCCCAACCCCTGTGATCGGAGGCATGTTCCTCGTGATGTTTGGGGTCATCACCGCCGTGGGGATCTCCAATCTGCAGGTGAGGCAAGGTGCTCCTAGAAGAGCGGCCAGGGCATCTCCTGAAAGGAGCCCAAGGGGATTGAGAGGGAGGGAATAGGGCTGGGGCCGAGTGGAGGAGAAGGAATCGTTGGTCCCAGAAACCACAAGGGCTTCCAAATGGAAGACAGGAGTAGCCAGAAGCATCCAAACTTCTGAAAAACAGAAACTGCATCAGTTTGAACTGGGTCGTTCAGGCCACTCAACTCCCAGGGCCAAGTGGGAATCGGGGCCTGGCTTGCCCACTGAGTGTGCTGCTCGGAGCCCAGCCTCAGTAGCCCCTACCTCTGGTGGCAGTGGGAGGGCAGGGGGCACTTGGAGGGGAGTTAGATTGCTATGCAGAACAGGTGCTGATGGCTCTGGGCTTCCATGGTGGCCTCTCTCCTGCAGTATGTGGACATGAACTCATCCAGGAACCTCTTTATCTTTGGCTTCTCCATCTACTGTGGGCTCGCCATTCCCAGCTGGGTGAATAACAACTCTGAGAAGCTCCAGACAGGTGATTCTCTGTCTTCTAAACTGTGACCGCTCCAGGGGCAGGGCCAGTGGGGACCTTGGTCCCTGGGAATCCCTGTTGCTTTTGTCTTCACTCTAGGGATTCTCCAGCTGGATCAGGTCATCCAGGTGCTGCTGACCACGGGCATGTTTGTTGGCGGATTTCTGGGCTTTCTCCTGGACAACACCATCCCTGGTAGGGCTCGCCTTCACTCTGTAGGCTGGTGGTGTGGGTAGATTGGCAGCATTTGGGCCACCCACATGGCTTCTCTGACCCTTATTACCATGTCAGGCTGACCACAGCATATCCTGAGCAGGCCCTGCCTCTGGGTGGGACATACAGGCCCAAATTAGCTTTCTAGGGCTGCCATAACAAAACACCCTGGACCAGTTTAAACAGCCAAAGTGTATTTCCTCACAGTCTGGAGGCTAGAAGACTGGGATCAAGGTGCTGGCAGGGTTGGTTTCTCCCGAGGCCTCTCTCCTTGGCTTGCAGGTGGCCGCCTTCTTGCTGTGACCTCATGTGGCCTTTCCTCTGGGTGGGTGCATCTCTGGTGTCTCTCTGTGTGTCCTAGGCTCTTCCTATAAGGACACCAGTCAGATTAGATTAGGGCCCACCCTAAAGACCTCATCTTTAACGGAATCACCTCTTTAAAAGTCCTATCTCCCAATGTATTCACGTTCTGAGGTAGGGGGGTTAAGGCTTCAACCTATGATTTTTGGGGGGACACAATTCAGCTAAACAGGGCCCTAAGGTAAGAAACACACCAGAAACAAAAACAGCTAAGAGCCCAAAGTCTGATTGGTGAGGGAGAGAATACATGTATTCTTTCTTTCTTTTTCTTTCTTTCTTTTTTCCTTTTCTTTGTTTGTTTGTTTGTTTCTTTCTTTCTTTTCTTTTCTTTCTTTGTTTCTTTGTTTGTTTCTTTCTTTTCTTTCTTTCTTTCTTCCTTCCTTCCTTCCTCCCTCTCTCCCTTCTTTCTCTCTCTCTCTTTCTCTCTTTTTCTTTCTTTCTGTCTTTCTTTCTTCCTTCCTTCCTTTCTTCCTTCCTTCCTTTCTCTTTCTTTCCATAAAAACCCATTGAACACTTGCTGTGTTCCAAGTGCTATGTACTGAGAATCCAAAGAGCAGAAAGACATGCCTTCCACCTTCCAGAAACCCACAGGCTAACAGGGGAGAAAGACAAGAGAACAGACAATGAGAATAGAGGGTAATACATGTGGTGAGGAGCAAACCGAGTCTCTGGGTGCTGAGGATATTGCAGTGAGGACTGCAGGGCCGCCCTCATGGATGGCTTTCAGTGCCCCCTTCTTGAACCTCCCACGGCCTCTTGAGAGGACCTTTAGGATAGCACCTGCTTCATGGTACTCTATTTTCCACATTTGTTCTCTCCAAGTTTAAAGTGCATCTGCATTCTAGAAACAAAGCGTGGAAAGACCTGCCCCTTGAAGGTGAGGAAAGGATGGTGTTCAGAGAAGGTTGTACCGTCCCGCCGTGGGAGCTCAGGGAATGCCCTGGAGCGCCCCTGAGCTGTGACTCCGAATGGGCAGAGAAGGAGGAGGTGCTGTTGGCAGGTGGAGGGCATGGAGAGGAGACCCCACGAGTGCCTGCAGGGGGCGCCAGAGCCCCCCCCCCCCCCCCCCCCCCCCCCCCCCCCCCCCCCCCCCC